ATTCAATTTTCCATCACACAATTGGCTGAGTTAGCTCTCAGTTTATCTGCCTGTAAATGAGCTATTTCTATTCAAGCTTCATTACGTCAAGGCAGTGAGCAAGCCTTGGACATTCACATATTCAAACTCTGATTTGCAGAAGTGTAGGTGTAAGTGGAAATCCTGAACAAACACAACTATCTGATTGCCAGGGCAGCCAGTCCACCAACTTGATGACTTCTGCGAGGCACCCCATGGGAAGCAGGATATTCTGTGTATCTGGTAAAGTAAGATCTCTCATGAGAAGATTTGAAAAAAGCTGAGCAAACTAGTTTGACAAGGATAGCTTTTGGCATAGTGGCATGGTTTTACAATTTTTATTGGAATATTCTTTTGCTAAGAAAGGCTGAGGCACTTTTATAAGCACAGCTGCCATTCTCAAGAGTACAAGTAGCTGCTACTGTTCATCTGCTGATGTTTCTTTATCAGAGTAATCTGATTCCAATAACAAAAGGCAGCTCACATTTGTATGAAACTCATGTAACACGCAAGTCTGTGTAGGGATGCAGCATTGTAAAGTATTCTGTACAGAACATTTTGCACTTTTCCTGGGTTGGGAGGACACAGAAAAGTTTATTTTTTATTACATATTGAAATGGAGTATAAGGAAAATACTTCTACTGCAGTGACAAGTCACAGAAATAATATAGTCTAGTTTAGTACTAAGTGGTAAGATAAAAGTTACATTACCTCTGTTGCAGTAGTCAATGTGAATGAGGATTAAAGAGAGTTACAGACCTGGCAAAGGTCACGTCAACTTGAATAAGTTGAGGTCTCAGGGTAAAACACAGAGGACTTGCATGTCAATAGCAAGCACTACAGAGAATTAATCTTTTCTGTGTACACCGTGTTGCCCAGACTATGGCCAGGGTGCTATTGTCTTGTTCTTTGCCTGTATTTCAACAGGGCATAGAAAGTCCAGAGAGGGTTTGAAGGACACTAGTAAGGGAGCTGAGAAATCTTCTTCAGGGTGCTCAATATTACCGTCTTTGTAGAGGAAAAAAACAGAAAGTTTGTTCAGCATGTAGAGATACTTACACCTTGGAAATACAGCTGAAAATGCAAGAGAAAAGAGATTTCCAACTTTGCTAAAAAAGACCTTCATCCAGTGACCAAAACTTAGCATAATCTAACTTGGGAACAGGACAATATTGCTCTTTGTGTAGAACAGTATGCTGGAGAGGAAAATGGCTCATCACGTCCCAGATCAGAGACTTTTCTGAAAATAATCTTTAAACCAACTTCTTTGCAAGAAGATTTCAGAAAAGCGAAGCAAACTCGTTTGACCTGGACAGCTTCTGGCAGAGTGACACCAGTTATGAACTTTTATTTCAATATCCTTGAGCAAAGCAAGATTGACACGCTTTTATGAGCACAAGAATTGTCGGAAAGTACAGGGGCTGAAAATTAGGGTGAATGTGATGGTCTCTTCGCTTCTGTGGACTTCCCTCTTGCTTATCCCATCCCTCTGGAGGGTCTTAGGAAGAAGGGAAGGCCAGGAAGCACAGCTATCCTAACTGCAGCATTCAGTGAATACAGATCCAACAGCCGAGTCTCAGCCTGCAGCCCCATGCAGAACAATTTCGACCAGTTTGCTTTAAGCCCTACAGAGCCATAAGGAAGTCCAATGTACAAGGACTTCAGGGAAACTCAGCCCACTCAAATCTGGGCTGTAATGAGCGTACACAATGTTTCATGCTTCAGAGCTTCTGACAGCAAGGGCCAACCCCAAATTCTTTGCCCCAGCATGTAACTAGAGATGGACGGGGTGATGGTGCTCTTCAGAGGAACAAAGCCACAATGAGGGATAGGACACAGGCCAGGGTAAAAAAGATATCAAAACAGCCTGCACTTCCAGGGTGACCAAGAGTGCTCTTATTTGAATGACGTGTCTACTTTCATTCTTCATGGTTCATTCTGACCAGCAGCAACAGAACAAATAAGCCAGCAACAGAGATATTGCATAATTCTACTCCTCCACCACAAAGGACAAAAGCCATCTTGAAACTGTGAGGCAGTAATCTGCAGAGCTGGTGTATACGCACAAAGATTTGAGCACAGTCTCAACACTATTATGGGTTTTTCTTCCCCCAGAATGAGTACTCTAATGATTTTATTAGAGTAGCTATGGATATTTTTCACTACCAGAAATCTGGTGGGTTTCTTGTCTAGTTTGAATTTTGTTTAGGTCATATATATATATATATATGGATCTTTTTATATAAATATATCCATATACACATATATATGTATGCATATACATACATAAAGTGTGCATGAGAACATGATAGACTGTTTCTTGATTTTATTTTATTAAATATGATACCCTTGATGGCATCTTTGTCCAGCTTGAAACCTCCAGACTTCCTTATGTTAGGGAAAAAAAGAAGAAAGCCCACTACAAGTGTTCATTTAAGAGTTGCTCTGGTCACAAACTATTTCTCCTGCTCCCTTCCGTGCATAAGGCCATGCAATGAGTCTGTGCAATAAACCCTACAAAGCCATGCTCTCAGGGACAGAGTGTAAAGCACTGGTTTTGGCGGGTCAGCAAGAAATCCCCCCATGGGATCTCATCTCCCATCCACCTCTCTGTGTTTTACTGCAGTAGTTGTTTCCAGCAGAAGGGATGTAACATAAATGAAAAGGCTCATACGCAGTTAGCTTGAAAGGAAAGTTCAACAGGCAGCATCAGCCAAGCAGCCCTCCAGGGGAGGCCCACGTTACACAGGGAAGGGCACTTCCACTCGCTCCCATCCAACTGTGAAAAGCACTTTGCTTCCCAGTGCCGGTACCACATTCCAGTGGATGGCCTTAGGAAGTTCAGCAGATATTATCCTCTAAGGCTAAGTTCTGCCTTGAAAAATTGTATGTTTCATCCTTTTAAAAAAGCATTTTGAGCCACACCTGTGAAGGCTGAATTTGGCAGGATATTTTCTTTTTTCATGACAGTTATCACTGATGCTAGAATAACCATAGCTGTTTTCCAGGCAAGACTTAAAATCTGGATAAGTGATGATATGAGAAATTGCATGAAAGACAGGAAACAAGCCAAAGCAATCATCAACTGCTCAAAAACACCTTCAGAAAAAGCAGCATCGTAAACTTTATATGTATAAAAAAAAGGAGGGCATTAAAAAGCAGAGCAAGAAGAAACTAGAGAAAAATCCATATGGGTTATATGGCCAAAGAAGCTGAAGCAACTATAAAAGAGGCGATAGCAAAATACAAACTCAGCAGAAATCTAACTGGCACATCCACACCAGCCACAAGGCTTGTTAAGGATGAACACTGAAAGGCCTTGAAAACAAAAACAGTTGGCTTAAGCTTAAGCAACTGCAATGGAAAAGTAAGTTGGATTTCAACTGTGTAGACAATAAGCTGATCTAACATTTGCCTTACAAATATTCTCCAAAGATAGAATTAAACGGCAAAAAGCACTCAGATGGCAAAGATTTTAAGAGATTACTTGATAACCTCCAACAAAGGTCACTCCAGAGCATCTCGAGGAACTGTGACGCACCAAGAAAAGTAACTCTCATCAAACCTTTACACTACAGCATAGTCATATGGGTAAAGTAAAATATTGGCTCAAGCATGTATTTTAGATGCTAGTCTCAAACTAGAACGTATGTTTCTGAATTTTAATTTAGCATCAGAAGCAACAGAGATGCAACAGACGTGACGTGTGACTCAGACGCATTTTAGGACATTTAGAATTGTTGAGTCAAAGTGGCAGTTCAACAGTGTGCAGCTATAACACAGTGTCCAAGACTGCAAAAAAGATGAGGTTAATAACTAGCTTGGTAAAACATCCGCAGACAAGATGAGTAAATCCCAACTCAAGCCCTGTGCTGGAAAGTAACGGAACAAGACACAAGTTGGTTCACATACCTTGGCAGTAACTCAAAGACAGTGGAGGTACCCAGAGGGAAACAGCATCACGAACTGGTGAGGTGGCAGCTCCATTCACGAGCTGAAACCAATGTTTTGTCATAAAAACTACACTTCCACTCAAATGTTATTTCCAGTTTTATTAACAGATGGGTGTGAAAAATGGAAGTCTACCAACAGTATAGGCAGAGGTCTGTGCATCTCCAAAAGCAATCTCTCAGGAAAACACGAGGTATTAAATGGAACGGCTTTACAACCACCACCACGATTTGTCAGAGATCAAGAACTACTTATGTCCTAAGTTACTGCCATCTTTTCTGGACAACTGGGGCACGCATCAGGAACACACTAGAATATCTATCCTGGCAAATTTTTCACCAGCAGCTGAAGGCACATGTTAAATGTGCCAATTGTCAGAATCCTTTCAACACACAGCTCTTCAGGAAGGCATTTAGTACTAGAAAGGACATGCAAAGAGCAGCATAAGCATAGTTTGGGACAGGGGAGCTTATTTTATTTTGCCCTGAGCAACACTTGATGGTTTGGAAGGAATTCAGATGCAGAATAAAATACATTTGCCTTCAAAACAGATCGCATAATTGGCTTTAGGTTTTAGTGCAATTTTCTTTTTAAATGGACCAAATCTTTAAGTTGCTCATAACTCAACTGTTTGAAAACAGCAACAAACCTAACTGCCCCCAAGGAAATATATTCTTATCCCCAAACTGAGACACATAGATTGGCCAGCCAAGCTTGCGATGAAGGAAACCGCTACAGCAGCATCTTGAATTAAACAGCAAGCAGCAGTCCCTAAACAGCCTTGAGAATTGCAAATCTAAAGGTGTGACTTCTGTTTCACAGATTTACTTTGCATCAATCAAAACTACATAAAACCCAGTCCTTAATATCCATTCAAAACTATGAAGGCAGTTTAGCAGAAAGCAATGGAAGTGATAAGGCATTAAGCTTTTATGCCTGCATTTTATATCTTGCAGCAAAGCAAGGCAACAAAGTAATACTTCAATAGTTTGCTCAAATAAAGGTTTAAATCAGCAATCTGATCTACTCACCCTTTTCACTGCTATCCAGGGAAAATTTCTTAATGTCGTCAATCAAGGTATCCTGCAAGTGGTCTTGTCCATGCTCTGCATCATTATCATCAAACTGAGCTTCTATAATGACATCCGGACTCTTAGCATCGCCTTTCACTGTCTCTTGAGGAATGCAAGTCCCCAACATATCCTCAGGGACATCTGATTCATGCGTGGCTTCTGTTTCTTTGTCACTACCATCTGGCTTTATTACCTGAAGGAAAAAAAAAAAAAAAAAAAAAAAAAAAGAGGCAAGCTGAATTGCTGGACTGAAAAAAGAAAACATTATCTTTCCTTTTTCATCTGGATCCCCAAGGAGCTGACAACAAATTGTGGGTGGCTGGTGGCACACTGCAATTGCCATGTAATTAGCCACAGATATTGCACAATCCAAAGAGGTACCTCACCAGGATAAAGACCGGAACGGCATGGCTTTTGCAGTACCTCAACTGTGACAATAATGTATCCAAAGCGTATCTAGAGCATAACCATGGTGTTCCTGCCAAGCCTCTAATCGGCTCTCCAGAAGTTGGGAGTAAGCACTGAGAGGGAGGAGGATACACTACAGTTTAATGAGTTGCTTAGACCATTGTTCACCACGACGCACTAATCATCCTGGGAAGTCTTGAAACTCAGGCAGTTTCAGTGAATGTCAAAGCACAACGCCAGGAGAGCTCCCCAGCACACAATTAGGAACAGGCTGAAAAAGTACCAACCAGAGAGCATGGAGCCCTGCGACCTGCGGAGGAGCTGGACTGTGGCAGCTTGGTAAGGGACCAAGCTTTACATTTATTTTAGGCTCTGGTCTTTTTGTTAAAGGCATTCAATTATTTCTGTTACTTATACAAATCTCCTACTTAAATTACCAAGAGGAATGAACTCAATTAAAGTACAAATTACTTAACCACTAACATAATTCAGATAAGTAACTCTGACCATTGATACAGATTTGTCCCTACTTTAGTGCAGCAATGGCACAGTGGGAGGAGAAACCATATGTGTAATCATGTCTGAACAAAACCATGAAGAACCCATGTGCCAATAAAGTAGACACCAGACCAGGATGGCATCCCTCACTGCACGTGACAGAGGTAGAAAATGCTCCATCTCAGGATATAATGATCAAAATGGTTGATACCTTGGATACATAATGCTTTTTCTAACATCCTTTATGCCACAACCAACCAGCTGCAAGCATCTGCCTGGCCCTGGAGCTTAGATCCAGGTTTTAGTTTCAAAAGTGTTTAAATTTCACTCAAGCTGTGGTATTTCACTGCAAGATTCACATCAGCATGCAATAAGAAATAACCTAGTAAACATTAAAATCACAAAGAAACTGGGTAACCCCATTCCAATGCCCTCCCGGTGACTGAGCTCCTCTCCAGCTGGTGCTGGTGTTCACCAGGCAGGTAACTCCCCGGAGATGCTCCTCCAAATCACTAATCACTGAATTCGGTACATGACAGCAGCTACTTATGCCACCAGCAAGGCAAGCAAAGTGCCCTTTAAAAAATGCAGTTTTAAAAACCCAAACGTTTCTGGTAACACACTTTATATGATAGATACCGGCACTAGAAATAAGTACACATATCCTCAATGGGTCCTAGCTGGAGACACCATTCCAAGTGAGAAAAATACAATCTAGAAAGCTCCACAGATTATTGTTTAGTCACTAAAAAGCAAACAGATCAAATCAGACCTGTACAAGACTTTCACAATTTTACATATACAAAGCTATAGTCACGCTTTCAAGCAGTACCCACTTCTTTGTAATCTTTTCACAATACGTAACAGAAATAAAGTCAATTTTAAAATGGGGTTGAATTCAAGCCTTAAAAAAAAAACCCTCAGTGACATTACTTTGAACTCTTGTTACCTTTTGTGACTCTGCTTTCCATCTTTATTTTCATTTTTTAATATGTATATAATTTGTTACCATAGCAGATTTTGACTCAAACATTAAATTGTGACAAAAAGGGAAAAAGTTTGGCAGAAGGTGGAAAAATGGCCAGTTATTAAACCTGGCTACATTTGGTACATAAAATACTGACACACAATGGTCTGGGCAAGAACAGTCTATTAGATTAGAGAGCTGACAAGGCTCCACATGCTAGTGACTCTGCCAGTGTGCCTATCCAAAAAGAAAACCAGTGTCAACAGTAATGTTTGGACCCTACCATGGTCAGATGTGGATACATTCATCTCTTAAATTTCAATTGCACCAGATGTGCGCAAGTGTGCAACTGCAGCAGGAGTTCATTTCCCTCAGCCCCTTCAAGCTTTGCCTGAATTTCTTTCTCTCCAAGTTGTTCTTTGGAGAGTATGAGATGTGTTTCAGGTGCTAAATTGCAAAGCTTTCCATATGTAATACAGTGAACAACATCAAATATATCTGAACGATAGGAAATGCTTCTCTAAAGATGCAGCACTGAAAAGCTTATGCTTGAAGAGTTTATGTTGCATTAAAGAAAGTGATACAGATTTCTTTTTAAATGCTATATGCTAAAATTACCATTCTTCCCCCAAGCTACAGGATACACACTACTGTCACTAGCTAGCATGATACTCCAGCTGTGACTACCTAAGCCCTCAGTCACACATTTCCTTCTGGATTTGCAAATGGATTTTTAAGTAAAGTTTTCCAGAGTCCACAAAATCACAACCTCCACACAGCATAGAGCAGCAAAATGTCCAGATGCTGGCAAGCATGGGCAATAGGATTTGTTTTCTTTTTAAGGCCAAGACAGATCATTTAGGCTGACCTCATACATAAGAGAGCAGGGAATTTCACCCAAGATTTCTTACATCACACCAAAAATTTAGGGAAGCTGTACATCACAAGACTGGAAAGCTGCATAAGACTTTACAAAATCAGGAGCTCAATGGATACAATTACTCCATTTAAGATGATCAGAGCTGCTGGCCAACATGAGCTCATCACACAGATTCCAAAAAGCAGGATCCTTCTGTAATTAGCAGCAGCAAATTTGACCATGACAGAATAAGCATTTCTTACATGCAGCATCTCAGAAACCAGAAATCATACTGCACTCGCCTATTTTTTATTATGCTATAGAACCTTGTACATGACATAATGCATAGAGCTAGAACACACTGGTATTTACCAGAGATGCAGAATAAATTAAATACACAATTTGCTAAGTCTACCACACAGTCATATGCAGTAGAGAGCATCATTCTCTGCCAGTGCAGCTGGCTCTGCATGGTCCCAGAAGGAGGGAATTCCCCCCTGCTGCATATGCATGAAATGTATGACCCCCCCACCATGAAAACATCCCAGGATGCACAGTTAATGTCTCTTAAAGAACTTTAACTTCCTGATCTGGGAAGTCAAAGGTCAACCTTATGGTTGTATTATTTTAATATGCTCTTTAGTAATTTTTTTTTTTTAAGTTTTAATAAGCATTTTGATGAAAGTCAATTGCTTATTTGAATGTCTGATCCTTAAGATAGGGCTGAATAAGTTTTCTTCCAACTTTAAACAAACATCTATCACTGAACAAGCATCAGGTTTCTGCCCCACAGTGATTGCTTTGTAAAGTCATAGCTGACTGAACACAAGATCTTTGAATGAAAATCCCATTTCAACCATAAATATAATAAAAAACAGTTAGTGGGCAAGAACATCCTGGCATGGATACATACAATCTGGACAGCAGAGTGATTACCTTGCTGCATCCAGCGCAGTCTTGAAGTAGCCATCACATGAACAATTGTCCTTACTCGGGAAAAATTTGTTCCAATGGAAAAATGAACCAGAAATCTGTGCATCTGAAAGCACAAGGGTTACCTCCTGAGCTGCAGGAGAAGCAATCTTATATCTGTCCTGTTCGTTCCAAGCTTTTCAGAGACTTTCCACCTAAGCCTCACATCCACATATGAATAAAGCCCAGGCCTGTTTACTCTCAGAACAGGTACGGGGTTTTTTGTTGCTGCTTCCTCAACAGCAACAGCTAACAACTCACACATTAATCTATAATATCAAAATAGTGAACCAGACCAATGATTTTCAACCATCTTTGAGCTATTAACCCCCAAGCTTTTTCCCATAAATGTACCTATCCCCCAGAGTGTTTAAACCTGACACGAGTTTGCTTTTCTTCCTTATTCATCTCTGATCCTTACAAGCAATTCATGAATCCTCACAGATCTGGAGATATGGATGACTGCTGGACTTGACACAGTTGGACGGATGCACCTTGTGTGGCTAAAAACTTTCCACATAGGTTCACTGTTTTCAACAGAAACTTGTGCAAAGAGACCTTCACTGAAAGCAACTTGCAGTTAAGGAAGAAGGATCACCTTCACTACCACTGTATTGGACACAGATTCAATAAAAATTAAATTCTTTATCTCCCTCAATATGCTGGTATTAAAAAAAGTATTTTCATAATGATACTGGGGAAGAATGGAGATGATATAGCACAAATTCTCTGCTCTGTAAGTCAATTAAAACCCAGCAAAATGCCTCATAATGAGTAATCAAACCCAAAATGTGTAACTTATCCAAAAGATTTTAGAAGTAACAAGCCATTAATGGTAACTCTTTATTGGGGCAGAGAAACGATGCTCAAAGAGGCTCCTTATGCTGCAACAGAAAGATGCAGTAGATTCACCAGCTAGGGGAAGCTGAAGACAGATTCATAGCAGGCAGGGAGCTCACATTAAACAGTGAGGACTAAACATGGGAACAGCTGTAAGAGAAATAAGGCCTTCGGGCTAAACCTTCTGAGGTTTGCAAACCCAGGTAAGATGCTTTTCTTCCAAAAAATACTTTGGTCAAACACAAGGTCTGCTTTAGCTATAGACAAATTATTATGCTCAATAATGGATAGGGAGACAAAGTTTAGGCCAGAGTCGTTGGTCCTCTCTGCAGTTGAGCCTTAGTTAAGCAACAAGTTTGAGAAACAGAAACAGGTTGAAAGAGGTTATTTCAAAAGGAAGACAGCTGAAAACTGGGACTTCGGACCAAATTACCATCTCACCATTAAAAAGACCGTTGCTACCACAACACTAATACAAACACCACATTTCATACCAATACTGCGAACACCTGCATCTATTAGTCTCCCAGCTTTTGCCATATTAAACAGGCTTCACTTAAAAGCCAGTTCCCTAATGTTGTCTCATGAGGGAGTAGGAACGAAGCCTGGCTAACATGAGGATGCTGTCACAGCTCAGACATACATGCTA